CTCAGCTCAGAGAGCGCTGAGGCTCTGCAGTTTATTTGCAGCAGGAGACTGAGAGCACAGCCTTACACAGAAACCTCGGAGAGACAGAGAGCACGTAAAGGAATGTAAAGGCCCATAGGAAACCCACAGCAAGGCTCGCTCAGAGCAGGAGGGGGCTGCGTTTTGCTGCCCCACTCCTCTACACCGACTTGGCGAAGCCGATGCGGTTGTACGCCATGTCGAAGATGCTGTAATACTCCTTGAGGAAGACATCGCCCAAAATCCAGAGTGGCTGCCCGTTCTGGGATGGCAGGTAGGTGACTTCAATCCCAATGGTGCAGTACCCATTGTTCTGTAAGGGGAAATAATGGGGAGTCAGAGCCTGGGGAAGCACCTGGACCCCGCAACTGTGTGGGGAGGGGAGTATTGCTGTTCACCCAGGGAGCACCAGGCTCTCTGCTGGACCCCTGGGACTAGGAGGGTAATACATACATTGAGGACATAGGCAGAGGGGGTCAGTGGGAGCTGCACCCCGCTGATGATGAAGGAGATGGTAGGCAAGCTGTGGATCGCATTGCAGTCAACTGCGTACTGTGGAGAGAGGGTGATGGGGAGGTTATGGCTGGAGCAGCACAGGGAGCAGCACTGGCTGTGAGGCATGACACTTCCCGAGGCCCCAGCCGTGCCACATCACGTCCCTGCTTCACACACAGCACTGCGCCCTGCAGACACCATCTGAGTTTTGCAGGATTTGTCCAAACCCAGGGCTCATGGCTCAATTACAAACCCCACCCTGACCCCAAACACCTCCCTTACCCCATAGCTGGTCTCCTGGGCGCCCACAGCCTGCAGGAATCTGCTCAGGTACTGCTGGGGCACAGTGAGCAGGAACGTCCCTGTGTCCACGATGGCCTGGCAGCCCTGGCTGCACCAGCCCATCACCGACTGTCCGATAACAAACCTGAGTACAGAAAGGTGGTGGACGTCACTCTGAGCCCCCACTGGGCACAGAACCCACCTTGTTCAGGTCTTGGAGGCTGGAACCTGAGGCTGCACACAGCTCCATCAGGAATGGATGCAACTCACCCATCGATCGCCACCTGCCAGTAAAGCTCCTGGGTCACCGGTGCCCACACGATGTCCCCAGTGAACAGCCGAGAGTCCACTCCTCCCAGCACGAGCTCTCCTCCATAGTTGTAGGTGGGATTGCTGCAAGAACAACGCAGTTAGAGCAGCAAGGAACCTGCGTGGGGACAGCCAGAGGGACAGAAGTGCAGAGGGGTTTTACCGAGAAAAGTAGAAGCTGAAGATGGGCTGGTTGAGCTGGTTCTGCTGCAGCATGCCCTGCAGGGGGGTGGGCGTCCCTCCAACCGCGAGTGCAGGGTAAGCCATCCCCATGATCCCATCAAATTGGGCGTAGTAGAACGGCTGGGTGGGCTCATCCCGGCTTAGCCCAAACTCCTGGTTTCTGACTGAGATGGTCTGGATCTGGAGGGAGAGGCAGCACTGTGTCAGCCTGTGCACTTGTGCAAATAGTGCAAAGCCAAAGAAGGTAAAATCGAAGAGTGCAAAATAGAAGGGTGCAAACCCAAAGATTGCAAACGGAGAGTGCAAAGCCAAAGAGTGCAAAACCAGAGTGCAAAGACAAAGAGCACCCTGCAAGGCTGGTGAGAACATCCCTGAGCGCCTGGCAAAACTATCAGCAGTCATGCAAGCAAAGCAAAAAATCCAGCTGGGTAACCGAAGGGAGCAATAATCACTTTGCATAGTTTCTGCCCGTCTCAGGACCTGGTTTCTACCATGCTGTCTGCACAAGAGCTGCCCCATGCCGCCCCCAGCTGTTCCCCCCCCAGTGGAGCACCCACCCGCAGTGTGTCGTAGCCCAGCACCACTGTCAGTGTCCCGCTGCCGTAGGACAGCGTAACTTTCTGCCCGTTGTTGATGAAAGTGGAGGATGCACTGGGTTTGAACTTGGCGTGGTTTCCTGCAGGAGAGACGAAGAAATAGAGCTGCTGGGGGTGCTGTTGCAGCTCACAGCTGCACAGGGGGACAGATGGGGAGGGGCTGTGGGGCACCCACCGCATGCCGGCGTGTTGCAGAGCGTGGAGGGCACCCACAGGTTGGAGGATCCGGTGTCAAAGAGCACCAGGAAGTTCTGCGGGGGGGTCCCGATGCTGATCTCCCCAAAGTAGGAGGACTGCAGACAAGAGGTGGGTTATGTCCATGGGATGGGGCTCACCTCCACCTCCTCACCATGCGCCACATCCTGGCACCTTGCAGCAATGCTGGGGATCCCCTCACTCTTACAGCGATAAGAGGGGAAAGGGGCTGAGCGATCTACTCCCAAATGAAGTGCTAGTAGATATTTCTTGCGTCCCATATGGGAAACCACAGCTTTTCAGGCAGCTGGGGCAAAGCTTTGCTAAACTCTGACACAGGAGCTTAAAAAAAGTCTGAGAACGAGAACTGTTCCACTCTCGGAGGCTCAGGGCAAACAGATTGCTCTGACAGCAGGAGAGGGGCAGGGGGAGCAGTGAGAGGACTCACATCCAGGTGGGAGGTCATCGGCTCGTACACAACGTAGTTCTTGCCGAAGTTATATTTCTTAACTGGATCGTGCTTAATTTTCTTCAGGTATTCCTCCAGCACTCCTGCCTCCCTCATTTTCTCCCGTATGGACTTGCCTTTCTTCAACTTGATCCTGCGCAGAGGGGGTGGGGGGGGAGAAAAACAAAAAGCAAACCAAAGAAAGCAGGAAATGAGGTGATTTGGGCATTTTCAGGTGTCCTCTCCTTTGGGTTCCCTTGCATCCTGCCATGTTGCGAGTCATCTGCACAGCATCTCTGGGCCAGGGGCACAGCCTGGGCTGCTGCTGGCATGGCCACGATGGGTTCTGGAGATGCACGTGGCCAGGTACACTGAGAACACAGCATCCCCGAGCAGTGCCCCAGGTGCAGCACACATATGTGATGAACGCAACCGGTCTCTGCTCCCCGAGTTCCCCCCAGCCCTGTGCTGCTCCAGCACAGCACCCACCTCACCAGCCCCTCTGTGAGCTGCAGGCACAGCACAGCCAGCACGAGGCACTTCATGGTGCAGCTGGTGGCCATGGTGCACCTGTCTGGAGAGCACAGCACCAGGCTGAGCTGCCCGGCCCGGCTGCCTTTATACTGGCACGCACTGACCGCCTTATCTGCGTGCCTCTGTTTTCCATTACCGCCGTGTGTAACCCTGGCTTGAAGGGTTTCTTTGTATTTTGGACCACGAGGAACTTGAGAAGTTTTTGTCGTTGGTGGGGCACCCGGATGAGAACAGAGCACCTCGCCACCTTCCACGGCCAAATCAAAGTGCGGCCACTCGATAAGGGCCGCCCTTATCACAGCAGGGAGAGGAGTTATCGCACTGCCAGCACGCTGCAGTGCTATCTGGATCCTTCCAAATCGCTTCAACCTTTCCCAAAACAAAGGCTCTCACAGCTCACAGCGCGGGATGGAAACTGGCTTGCAGGAGGACCCAGCGCCATGAGGATGTTGGGGCCTGACGGAGAAACGGGTGCTGAGGCTGAGACTGAAAGAACCCTTCCATACCTTGCTCAGTGCCATTGCTGCAGACATGCCCGCAGCACCTGCCCAGCAGCCGTTCATAGAAGGCCTGGGGTCAGAAGGGAAGATCCCTGAGTTCCAACCCCTGGCCCACCCCACAGCACCCTGCACCCCAGGAGGCTCATTGCTGCCCCCCAATAGCTGCTGCCTACCCAGCACCGCTATCACTGCGCTCATCCCACGCTGGCGCTTTGCACATCGTATGCTCCCTTGGGAGCGCCAGGAAGTGTGTGTCCTTTGCTGGATACTGAGTATAATAAAGCAATTATCTTGTTTGCTAGCAGGATTGATAGAAAGATCAACTTATTAAGATTGGATAAAAGGCAAATTCTGGCTGAAAGCAAAGAACAGTTATCAAAACGTCAACATACCGCGTGTTATCTGCAGGTCCCAAGGGGACTCAGGCTTGCCAAAAGACAAAGGAATAAGATGCCCTCTATAGCACATGCAAACATGCTACCTTTGTTTCCTTTTGACCCCCGAAAAGTTAAACAGCATCTGTTTGCTAAGGCACTTAGTCCAACAGGAGTTGGGGAATTCCAGTCTCTGCCATCAGAGATGGCGCATCCTTGTAGGGGCAGAGCTCAGCTGCACTGCTGGGCATGGGCACGTGTTGGGGCTGGGCTCTGGGCACATCCTGCTCTTCCTGTTGCACCAACAGACCGAGCAGCTCTCAGGAGAGCACTGCACCAGGCTGCAAACAGCTCTGAAGTGGAGTCCAGCCTCCGCCTGGAGCAAAGGCATTCCCAAAGACATCACAGTCACCTCTGATTTCTTGGTCTGCTCTAGGCTTTGTCCTACCCATGGCAAAAAGCATGGAGAGGTGACTGGTCCCAGTGCCAGAGCAACCGGCCACCCTCTCTCCTGGACCTGTTGGACACAAGATATTGTGATATAATCTCAGCAAATGGGAGCATGGAACAAGGGGAGCATGGGCACAGGGCTGCTCCAACAAGCACCGTGCCAGCTGGAACCTCTCCTGAAGGCACAGACCTCCACCTCCCACAGACACTGAGCAGAGATCTAGGCAAAGCCCGCCTTCCACATCCCATGGGCTTGTGCTGGGAAATGTGTAGCCAGAGAGGGCAGGGATATCAGACCTGTGGAATGAGGAACGATTGAGCATTTGGAACCTGAGATGTTTGCCTAGCGCCTGGCTGCTTCCAAGCATTATTTTAGCTACACAACACCCTTGTGCGTGGTTGAATGTTGAGTTTGCTCCTGCTATAAAAGGACTACCTGCAGCAAGCCTGGCTGTGTCCTCTGCTTTTACCCCCTCACTTTTATTATGTTTTGAAAGGGGAATATTTGCAGCCTCATTTGATTTCATTTGTACCAAAAAAAGAAAAAAAGAAAAAAAAAGGAGCATACACATTGTGAAATAAAAAAACACAAATGACATAATCTTATTTTCACAGCTCTTTTATTTCTTCACAGTACAGTCTGGAAAGAAACCCATCTTCAATGCAAAGATTTCGCAAGAGAAGGGGTCTGGGCTCTGCGGGGATGGAGATGCTCCAACGCACAGAGCTGTGGCACAGCACTGAGGCTGCCTACACAGCAGTGGCAAAGCCCACCCTGTTGTTGCCCATGTCATAGATGGAGTAGTAGACCCTCAGGAAGACATCTCCAAGAATCCAGAGGGGCTGCCCAGTCTCGGAGGGCAGGTAGGTGGATTCAATCCCAACGGTGCAGTAGCCACTGTTGCTCTGTTGAGAAGGAATAACCGTGTTGGAAAGCTCTGGCTGCACAGATCTTCCAGCTGTCCCCCAGCCCACGTCCCCCTGGCTGCTCTCCATTAGGTCCCCAGAGCACGAGATGCTGTACCTGGAGCATGTAGGCAGAGGGAGGCAGGGGGAAGCTGGTGCCACTGATGACAAAGGTGAGGGTGGGCATGTACTCAATGTTGCTGCAGCTTGCCACATACTGGGGAAAGAGAAAGCCACCACAGGTTTGTGCCTGGTGAGTTCTGTCAGTGATCCATGAACCCAGACATGCACACTTTACGAGATCCATCGTTTCCTCTGCGGGGATTAGAGCAAAGCCTCAGGGACGTGGTTTAGTGGGGAAATGGTGGTGGTAGGTGGGCAGTTGGACTGGATCATCTTGGAGGATTTTTCCAACCTCAATGATTCTCTGAAACTGGATTTCCAATGCTCCTCCAACCCTGATGCTCAACAGCAACTGCTCACCCAGATAGATGCATCTCTTGCCTCTCTCCCCTCCTTTTCCCAGCCCACTCTCCCTACCTGGCCGTTGCCATCAGCTTGAGCTCCAATGTACTGCATCAGCTCACTGAAGACCTGGTTGGGAACGGTGAGGAGGGAGGTTCCTGTATCGACGATCCCCTGGCAGCCCTGGCTGCACCAGCCACTGCTCTGCTCACCAACAGTGAAGCTGTGGGTAGAGAAAACAGGCAGCTCATGAAACTCCTTGCTGCTGCAAGAGGAACACAGGGGCATGGTGTATGAGGAATGTTCTCTACAGTTATACATCAGCATTGTCAAGAATAGCCATCAGAGCCCAGAAAGCTTGAGATTTGAGATCCTTGAAGCCACCAGAGGTGACAGAAAGATTCCTCTTATGGCCACAGATCTAAGAACAACCAGAGCTGGTGTGGAGGAGGCTGGAGAAAGCAACACTTTACTCTTCAATCCCGATCTGCCAGTAGGTGGTCTGGGTGACAGGAGTCCAGAAGATCTGCCCCGTGTACAGGTTGGGGTCGACGCCGCCGAGGACGAGCTCACCACCTTGGCTGCCCTCCTGCCTGCGGGAGGAAGGCACAAGTGACAGAATCATAGAATCATGGAGGGTTGGAGTTGGAAGGGATCCCTCAAGGCCATCCGGTCCCACGCTCTGCAGTGCACAGGGGCACCCACAGCTCCGTCAGTGCTCACAGCTCCATCCCTGCCCTTGGGGGTGTCTGGGATGGGCATGGGATGGGCCCATCTCTCTGGGCAGCCTGTGCAGTGCCTCACCACCCTGACTGCGAAAGACTTTGATCCTATATCCAACCTAAACCTCCCCTCTTTTGGTTTGAAACCATTTCCCCTTGCCCTATCACACAGACCCTGCTATATACAGTCTGACGCCTCTTTCTTACAGCCCCTTTAGATACTGAAGGTCACACTCATGGGTGTCAGTAGAGATTGACAGCTACCAGTACCAGCCAGCATGCTAGTAAGTAGAAGGGGTTGGGCAAACAGGAGAGCAGGAAGGAAGCATCAGCTACAGGCTCTCATGAAGGTTTAAACACGAAAAAAAAACAGAATATTCCTGGGAAGGACAAAGGCAGCAAAAGGTGGAAGGAAGAACAGGAGCATCCCTACCCACTCAGGTAGAAGCTGAAGATGGGGGAGTCCAGCAGGTTTTCCTGCAGCATTTGCTGCATCACAGTGGTGGCTCCACCAGCAGAGATAGCAGGGAAGGCCAACCCCAGGATGCCATCGAAGGGAGAGTACAGAAAGTTGGTGCCAGGCTCTGTCTCGCTCAGGCCGAACTCCTGGTTTGTGATGGAGATGCCCTGGATCTAGGGATGAAGAAAAGAGGCAGAGCTGCCCTGAGAGCACTGCATGGAGCACTGTGACCCACGGGTACAGTAGGACACTGGGCCATGCAGTGGTGCACCAAGCGAACACGGGGCTCCATCCTGCAGCTGTACGCGTACATATCAGAACAGGGGACTGAGTTAGAGCCAAGAGTTCCCCTGTTTTGCTCCCAAAGGAAAACCCTTGGTCTCCAGAAGTGATCAGCCCATGTTTTCCCAGGTGCACGCCCTCGGCACGCAGTTCAAGGCTGCAGGGCAAAGTTGGGGCACCCCTCACTCCCCCCATCTGCAGTGTCACTCACTGTCACTGTGTCAAAGCCAAAGATGCCGGTGAGGCTGCCAGATCCGTACTGCAGGGAGAAGAACTCATTCTGAGTTGAAAATGTGGAGGACTCATTGGGGTTGAACTCGTTGTGGTTGGCTAGATTGGAAAAACAAAACAGAAGAGTGATGGTTCCATCCAGGGGCACTCAACCAGAGGCCGAGTGGCAAGCAACAGAGGTTCAGGGCGAGCAACAGGGACCTGCAATCAAAGCACACACGTGGGCTGCTTTTGATAAGTGGTGGTAATCATTGCTTGTGGTAAATACAACAGTGGCAGCCAGAAGTCCCCCCACTGCCCAGGACCCCCTTTGTGCACCCTCCTGCCCAGCTGCTCACCGCAGGCCTGGCTCTGGCAGAGCGTGGAGGGCACCCACAGGTTGGAGGAGCCGGTGTCGAAGAGCACCAGGAAGTTCTGCGGGGGGGTCCCAATGCTGATCTCCCCATAATAGGACATCTGGAGGAAAGGGGACAATTTTTACTCCATGTAACTCCTCATGCTAAATCTCAGCCCATGCAGCCACAGGACTGCAGGCTTCCTAGGACTGCAGGCTTCCTGGGGCTGCAGGGTTTGCCAGATTCCCGCTGTCCCTTTCCAACAGCGCTGTGCACTGTGCTCTAAGCATGGCACTGCTCTCTGCTGCTTCTCCCACCAGTGCAGGAACAGCACAGCAGCTGTGTTTACAAGCAGCACAAAGGCACCCGGACCCTTCCTGCAGTGCCACTGTCAGTGTATTTCCAAAACAGAGTACACAGCTGAGCGGCTCCATCAGCACTCACACAAACACCCCTCTTTTCCTGCACGACCACGAGAACAGCTCTTGAAATAAACCATTGGTTCAAGGTCTTACACTGAACTTCCCAGACTTCTCTATTCGCATCCTGTTCCTCCTGTCTCATTTTCCCCTCACCATTCCCAAGGGATGGATACTCACATCCATGCTGTTCGCCAGGGGCTCATAGGCAGTGGCAAAATTGCTGAAGAACTTGTAGGCAGGGTCGTAGTAGCGGTGATTCGCCAGGTAGTCGTGGAGCACGCCGCTCTCCTTCATCGCCTCCCTGATGGACTTGCCTTTCTTCAGAGGAACCCTGCAGGCAGTGAGCAGCAGCCATCAGCTCAGTGTGATAGGAAGCAGGTTTGCATTGCTCATCACACTCCCTCGTTTTTGCTCCCTGTTGGTCTTGTGGGCCCCAGTTAAAACCCAGAGCTCCCCGTGCACCTTTCACATTGCCACCCTCCCGACTTGCCCCAATCCCAGGGACAGGCAGACCCTGCCCGCTCACCGCAGCAGCCCCTCGCAGAGGTGCAGGCACAGCACGGTGAGGATCAGCCACTTCATGGTGAGCTGCTCTCGGAAGCCGTCCCAGTAGACCTCCAGAGCTCCACGTGCACCCTTATATACCCCACCACGGTCCCTATTGCCTCCACCAGTGCCATGCACGCAGCCAAAGGTTATCACTGCAGCCCAAAAATTTCCCCGCAGTGCTAAGGAATATCTTGGAAACTCTGAAGTCAAATATCAGCAGCAAACACCCATCTGTTTGCAAGCTATTCCTTGAAAGAAAAAAAAAACAGCCGATAAGAGTGACCCTGTAAAATTAAGCAAAAGTCCTAAGAGTCGAGTTTGCTGCTGCCCAACTTCTTTTTGACTTGATAGGGTTATCAAAGACTCCCTTGAAAAAAGGGGAAAAGATTTCATTGTGTTTTCCAGGAATACAATGGAAAGAATAACACGGGTTATCAAGAGCTCTGTTATCTCCCGTTTCCATTCCAGTTCTTACCTCTTGCATTTTTGAAAGTCCCAGAATGACCCTGGAGGAAAGAAACGCAAGGGCTTGGGTTGGAAAGACACTGCACCCCAAGACACGCTCCCTTTGGAAGGTGCATGTGGCTCTATTGGCTGCTCTTAGATGTACTCCTGCTGGGAAGAGCTGTCAGGAGGGACTTTCAAAAGGCAAAGCATTAGACTGCCCCTGTGTACAATGAGATCATAGCAGCTGTATTCTGGAAAAACAGGCAGATCCACTCCATACAGAGCGACGGCAGAATCCATGGGGTGGGCCAATGGGTTTGTGCCCTAAGAGATCTCATAGAAGGGCCAGTGGTTCAGAAACTCAGCTGCCACATTTACCTCTCCCTCCTTCAGAGGTACAGGGGCTCAGGGAAAAGGAACACGGCCATGCAGAGCTGTTGGCACCATTGGTTCTCTCCTCCTCAGCTCACAATTGAGGAACGCACTCCATGGCAAACATTGCGTGTTCTCCCTTACTATCAGAAGTACAAAATACCTTTCAGCTCAAATGTAATCTTATCATCGAGGTCTGGCTTCACCCCTTGGCCAAAACAAGAGGAACAGAAACAATGGGATTGACCGGGGACACCAAGTGACAACATTTCCATACGGATTGGATTGGCTTTTATGGAACCTATATCTCACCTTCAGAGTCTGTAAGGACGAGACAACGGACCAACCTCTGCTCATGGTGGAGGTGCACAATTTACTGCCACCTGTAAAAAAACCCAACTGTACTCTAGGAAAGAGGTTGGCTGCTGGTGGTACGCCATCTCCAGGGGCAGCTCAGAGGTAATTCCCCACTTTGAACCGTGCCCATGTTCAATAATTGCCACTTTGTCTCTTTCTTCTTTCCTGAAGGCTCAAGAAGATCATCTGGATTTAAAAAAAAAACAAAACAAACTCAGAGCATCTTAAAATTAGAGTCTGTAATACCTAATGCATGTGGGTCCTTGTTTGTTTATAGTAAGAGAAAGGAGCAGGATGCAACTCAGAACAGTGGGTCTGGCAGCAGTAGCAGAGGTTACTTTGGAGTTATACGCAGCTGGTAAGATGTCCAAACCCCCCAAATTCAGGAGAAAGCTGAAGATCCTCAAGGTCAAAGCAGTCTGATGCAATGTGCCAACACAAGGAGACTGCTTGGGGGAAGGCAGCAAGCACTGCTCCAGCGGTGTGCGAGGTCCACAGGGAAGTCCAGCTTCACACCATCCCATGCCCCTCCCCTGAGCTTATAATTTTAAATAAAAAGCAAAGCTTCCTTGGAAATGTGTCGCTTCTCCTCCCTGCAACACCCAAAGTAAGACACGAGCCCTGCATCATCACCATATTCCATTTATTCAGTATACATTCGTAGTGCACGTTAACGTAAGACATGAGCACTCCTCAGGTCACATAGCACTATTGTTCTTCACCTGCGAGGTTACACCTGGATGAAACACAGAGACTGAATGACACCCACGGAGAAAACCTGAAGAAGCATGACTGCAGTGAGATCGGCCCCCTGGGCACAGCAGCCCCAGCCCCAAAGCACCGTCATTTTTCTGCCATGTCAGAAATGCTCAGAGACAGCAGGACGAGTCACAGAGAGGGGAAGCACAGAGGAGGAGAGCTCGAGAGAACGCAGATGCATCTGGGCCTTCCGACTTCAAAATCACATTCGCCGATGGAAGAAAAACAAATGAGTTCCCTTCTTTAGTATTAGCTTTTTTCTATGCCTTGGCCTGTACCTGCCAACTTCAAAGCTCTCCAGATTTCCCCTAATGTATTCACCTTTGGTCCTGTTTGGGAACAGGAACCTAAACCTGTTCTGCTGCCTGAGCACGGCACTTCAGGAGGAGCCAGGCTGCGGGGGAAGTCAAACGTCAGCCCCCCAGAGCTGAGTTTGGGCCTCAGGGATGGAACCTGATGATCCCTGGGGTCCCTTCCAGCCCACACCACTCTATGATTCTATATGAGGCAATGCATTCATTAACAATCGCTCATTAATGACGCTTCACAGTCAAGATACAACCCAAGAAGGGCTAAGCAGCATAACACAGAGAGACAGAAGAACGACTTTGAGAGAAAACAGCTGAGAACATACAGATGTGGTACTGAGCCCTGACAGAGAGCTCTCACTCGCATCTCAAAAGCATCACACCAACAGTTTGGTGCCTCTTCCCTAATTTTGCCACAGTGACACTGAGGCACAGAGAAAGGACACACAGAACCAGAGCTGGGAACACTGCTGGGATGGGGCTCTGGGGCTCGGAGGGATGCAACCAGAAACACGGACAGCAGGAGCTGAAGCTGGGCTTGGGTTTCCTCCCAGCCACCAGCATGGCTTGGATAACAAAAATAACAGTGCTTCGGTAACATCTGAGACATTCAAAGCTCTTTGCAAAAATATTGATCTTTTAATCCTCAGCCTCTTCTTTGCCACTCTCTCTCTGTAAGGCAAAAACAGCTCACAAATAACCAAGCTCCTTCCCTAGGGGGAAAAGCAGGCACGTTAAACTGGTTAGGAAAAAAAAAAAAAAAAAAGATAAACCCTCCCACAATAAAAGACAGCTGAGAGCCATGAGAGCCATGAGAAGCTCTATTCCTACCAACTGAGTCTGGGGAATGGATGGGCAGAAGATCTGGGGTATGCAGTCCCCAGGAAAGAAATATCAGGGGAAAAAATCTGCTTGGTTCACTCAAAACTCAAACGGGAACCACTCCGCCTTGGGTGAATCCCTCAATCTCTAAACCACACTCATGGATGCAAGCGCAGATTCTAGGCATGCTGCCCTGGGGAGGCCGTCCTTGCAGTGAGGGACGGAGCATGAGATGCTCATCAGCTGCCCCAGGTTAAGGTTCCCATCCAGCAGGCACTCACACACCTATCAGTGTGCATTCATTGAGAAAGCCCAGCAAACTTGCACATAAGGCTCAAAGCAAGATCTGCCAGACCCACCTTTGCAAAGTGCTGTACAAGTACAACATAATTCATAAAGGTGATTTTTAACCAAAAGAAACCGTGAGAAGGAAGGAGCCCGCAGGGTTACGAGGAGGGCTCTGTGCTGCCCATCCCAGGACTGAAGGAATTAGACAGAACCGACCCACACCTCAACCTCCTACTGGTTTCTCCTCCTGCAGCTGCTACAGCTCTGACCACTAGAGGAAGCTGTGACACTGGAGAGCTGGTGGAAATGTTGGGGCGAAAGCCCAGACGGTGACATTCCTGAAACCGTGTTCAAACAACTCGGGCCTGTTCCTGCATTTTGCAAAACAGAGGGTTAAGAAGTTAAGAGAGAATCCCGGTTATTTAAAGGGGACGTTGTGAAGTTTCTCACAAAAGCAAGAAAAACAGAGGAAGTCACTTGTGAGCCTGCAGCTCCCAGCTCCTGGTCAGGGCTGCACGCTGAGGAGCACAGAGCAGCAAGGCTGGATGCTCTCAGAGCAGCAAGTGCAGCAGCAACAGACACCAGCTCTTCCTTAAAAATGAGACAAGGGAGTTATTTTTCTCCTTCAGACAGGCATAGCAATGCAGGGAATGCTGCAATGCAGCCCCTGCTGTGCGTGCCCTCCTCACCTCTCCTGCTTTTGATATCCCAGTGAGGTTTGGGGGCTCCAAATTTGCTGGGGGAGGAAAGGGAGGCCCAGGGCAGACGTGAGCCCTATTCTGGAGCACACCCCAGCAGCACACCCTTATTGTACCCAATCCACAGCCCTGGCCCTGTCATCTCACTCCATAGAAGTGTAAAATGTTCCATCCTTTTTCATTTGTCTGGTAGGAGGACTTTGCATAGCATTTCTCACTGGGCTGTGATGCTGGAAATGCAGGTTCCTACTGGAACCCGGCTCCTCCTGGTGCTGCTGGAGCCACCCCAAGGGGTGAACTTACTGAGCAAAGAGCTCTATACTTACAGAGTTTTGTTAAAGCTTTATACACGTCACTTCTTTTTTTTTTTTTTTTTAATGTATACGTAAACAATTTCTTCTCTCACTTCTCCAAATGAAAGTTAGAGAGGGATTTTAGGGGGGTGCCCATTTTCCTTCAAAGAAAGTCATTTGGCATAATACAAAAACACATCCCTTGGGTTTCCTTTCAGTTACAAATCACGTAAAGGTTGGGACAGAAAAAAGAATGGACGAGAAGAATTTCCCCAAAATAAGGAAAACCCGCTGAATTTAAGCATATGGGGCACTTTGGATTTATAGTGCAACAAACAGCAAGTTGGGGATCCCGCAGCACTGCGCACACTTCTGTTGCTTCTCCAACCGCATGGCTCTGCCCTTCCTCCCAAAAGGGTCACCTTTCAGTACAACATTAGAAAAACATCAAAAATATGGAAATGGGGTCTGTGCACCTCCAAAGCAGGTGATGACTGTGTGCTGTCTTCCTTCACAGCAGCTGCTCACCGACCTCCACGCTGGAACGAGGAGGGCACAGCCGAGATGGGCAGTGGGACAACCTGCTGGGTGCTGGGCCTCTCCGCTCACATCCCAGGGAGAAGAGCAGAAAGCAGAAAGGTGGGACTCCAAAGCGACTCCAGAGCACTTCTGTCTCACAGATACAGCCCACAGAGGCAAAAAGTAATGCGGGTTAAGCTGCAGCATGTCACCACACAGAGGGGTGTGGAGGCATGCCCTGCACCAGCAGAGACCCGACACAGGACCTCACGTGGAGGTCTGACAGCTCAGCTTCAGCGTCAACAGAAAACTCCACATCAAAGGCCACACATTTACGGAAATTTAGCCCTTCCCAAGTCTGTAGCTGTAGGAAACAAATGACACATTCACTCTAAACAGGATCAAATATTTCTCATGGACCCGGCCAGGAACGTGGGTGCAGGCAACCACTTTGATAGCGCTCCAAGCCCGGCCACCTCACACCACCCACCCTCTCTGCAACAGCGAATCCCAGTTAAAAAACACTGAATCACAGCTGCTCTTTTCACTGACGGCAGCCCTGCAAAGCCAGCAGCTCTGCTCAGACAGCCCCGGACAGA